TGTGCGTCGTGTTGTGTCACTGATGGCGCTAGATGTGCGTCGTGTTGTGTCAAAGATAGCGCTAGATGTGCGTTGTGTTGGTGCTAATATGGTCCTAAATGTGCGTTCTGTTGTGTATGATGTGGTGCTAAATGTGCGTCCTGTTGTCCAGGATGGTGCCAGAAGTGATGGGCTATCTTGAGTCAGATCTTTACTTGGATCCTTTGGGTCAGACATCTAATTCGGACCATCTTGATTCACACGTTTTACTTGGGCCATCTTGGTTCAGACATTTGACTTGCGTCAACGAATGAAAAGTCTAACAATAAATTTCCAGCGCGTCTTACATTGACGATTTCATCCCCAACATACTGACCAATCAGAGCGGGGGTCCGTTGTATCAACATGTTTAATTGGTTGCCACCCAACCCCATCAGGACCCCATCAGAGCACGGGTCAAAGTTCATTGATTGCTGAAATAAATGTTTGCCTGGGGCACTAGAACCCTGCGCCCTAAATCAGTAGGTCTTTTAGTGGTCGTGTGGCCACCCTCACACAGTGGCCGTGTGGCCATCCTCACACAGTGGTCGTGTGGCCACCCTCACACAGTGGCCGTGTGGCCATCCTCACACAGTGGTCGTGTGGCCACCCTCACACAGTGGCCGTGTGGCCATCCTCACACAGTGGTCGTGTGGCCACCCTCACACAGTGGCCGTGTGGCCATCCTCACACAGTGGTCGTGTGGCCACCCTCACACAGTGGCCGTGTGGCTTTACTCTGGCCCACCCAGAGATAAAGGGTCATCGTTAAATTCAATAATTGGGGACATCTTGGTACACGGCCTTGAAATTTGGACTCGTTACAGTCGATATTGTCTTCGTGGGTTGTTTTTTTAGTACCAAAATGTATTTGTCCTATTTGGTTCTATTCTGGCTCCATTGATTCACATTTTTAAAAAAATCATGTACTTGTGTGAATGCCGATAGGGCAATGCACTGTGGTATCGTAATGTGTTTTTGTAGGTATCGCTGATAATTTGGGCTGTGATTTAGGTTCTATGGTAGGTCAAGATTAATGCAAAATGCAAAAATACTGTTGACGATACCTTGGAAAGAGTATCGATACCACCTCACAAATAAACATAATACTAGGTCTGCAATGATAAAATTTCTGGAACATTTGTCGTTGTATCATTTTCTTTTGTTACGATGAATGTTTCCATACTAAATCAATGGCATTTACTGAAAGCATTAAATTATCTGAGAAATCTGCTATGGCAATATTTGTGTTTTGAGATTTTTTTTTCTAAATAAGAGCTTGGCATGACAGGGCTGGTGGTGGGGCGTTTGCAGAAAATACTAGGTCAGAGAGAAAGACAATACTAGGTCACAGATAGGCGATACTAGGTCAGATACAGACTAGGTCAGAGGTACAGACAGTAATAGCCCATTTGAAGACTCGCGTCCCTAGCTAATCCCTCCCGTTTTTCACCCCACCCCCATTCCCCCCACCCCCACCCGTAGTCATGATTACCCTCTACGGGTCGGTCAGCAACGCCAGTCTTCTATTAATGCCCGGCTAACGATTGTGCTAACACCACCCCGCCCCCTTAAAGACTGTGCTAACAAACTCCACCCCCCCCCCCCCACTACACCCTTCTGATTGTGATAATACATTCGACTTAAACCCCCCCCCCCCTACCTCCCCTGGGTGATGCTGAACAATTTTTACCAGAGGGTTGAACTCAGGTTGTACCATCTCACGTGACCGTGAACAGAACTAGGATTCCAACTTCACACTGTGACAATTTGACCCGCAATATCATTAGGTCAAAGATCTTCTAGGTGGCCCAGTTACATATAGATGTTCAAAGATCTTTTGGGTGGCCCAGTGACATATGGATGTTCAAAGATCTTCTGAGAGTGGACAATGATATGTTCAAAGATCTTCTGGGTGGCCCAGTGACATATACATGTTCAAAGATCTTCTGGGTGGCCCAGTGACATACAGATGTTCAAAGATCTTCTGGGTGGCCCAGTGACATATAGATGTTCAAAGATCTTTTGGGTGGCCCAGTGACATATGGATGTTCAAAGATCTTCTGAGAGTGGACAATGATATGTTCAAAGATCTTCTGGGTGGCCCAGTGACATATACATGTTCAAAGATCTTCTGGGTGGCCCAGTGACATACAGATGTTCAAAGATCTTCTGGGTGGCCCAGTGACATACAGATGTTCAAAGATCTTCTGGGTGGCCCAGTGACATACAGATGTTCAAAGATCTTCTGGGTGGTCCAGTGACATGTTCAAAAATCGTCTTGGTGGCCCAGTGACATGTTCAAAGATCTTCTAGGTAGCCCAGATATATATACATGTTCAAAGATCTTCTGAATGGCACAGTGACATGTTCAAAGATATTCTGGATGGCCCAGTGACATGTTCAAAGATCTTCTGGGTGGCCCAGTGATATGTTCAAAGATCTTCTAGGTAGCCCAGATATATATAGATGTTCAAAGATCTTCTGGGTGGCCCAGTGACATGTTCAAAGATCTTCTGGGTGGCCCAGTGACATGTTCAAAGATCTTCTAGGTAGCCCAGATATATATAGATGTTCAAAGATCTTCTGAATGGCCCAGTGACATGTTCAAAGATCTTCAGGGTGCCCCAGTGACATGGTCAAAGATCTTTTGGGTGGCCCAGATATATATTGATGTTCAAAGATCTTCTAGGTGGCCCAGTGATATGTTCAAAAATCTTCTGGGTGGCCCAGTGACATGTTCAAAGATCTTTTGGGTGGCCCAGATATATATATATATATATATATATATATATATATATATATATATATATATATATATATATAGATGTTCAAAGATCTTCTGGTTAGCCCAGTGATATGTTCAAAGACCTTCTGGGTGGCCCAGAGACATGTTCAAAGATCTTCTGTGTGGCCCAGAAATATATAGCTGTTCAAAGATCTTCTGGGTGGCCCAGAAATATATAGATGTTCAAAGATCTTCTGGTTGACCCAGTGACATTAAGATGTTCAAAGATCTTCTCGATGGCCCAGTGACATACAGATTACAAAGTTCTTCTGGATGGCCCAATATCATTGAACTTGTCAAAAGATAGATTTCCATTATAGTTGTTTAAATAGTATTTAATTATTATATATTTAAAGAAACAATTTATTTTCTCTTTTTCTGTGCATTTTATTCGTTTTTATGCAGTTTTTATGCCGTTTTTTTTGTAAAATGTTCATCTTGCTGTGCACAGAAAAGACGTTTTTCACTTTAAAAGATTGCGCCGATGTCTGCTTATAGCACATCTGCTTCCAGACGAACATATCATTTCCGGGATCCGGATCACGAAGGCACCACCTTTTTTTTCTAATCTAAAAATTGAATATTTATGATAAATTTTCCAAAATTAAATTTTAGAAATCGTGTAGAGAGCTAGAAATTGTTTAAAAATATTTTTAACTGTTTTTTTTTCAACAAATCAGTTTCGAAAAAAAAACTTTTTAAACTTAGGCCCGTCTAGACTATGCTGCTAACTCCGTAATATCATAAGCTCTGTTTAAATTCTTATTTTCGTTAGTGAAATGACCTCGAGCATTTGAACTTTGACTCTTGGTGGGGTTCGTAACTGTAAAGAGTTTCCTGGAAGAAACTCTGATTATATTTTATCTTTACGAGCACTCGAAAAAGACAAACGCGTACTTAACTTTTAAAATATGGTTAATGTAGGGAAATAAAACTTTCTGGCTTTATTTTAGGAGTCATTTTAAGTAGTCTGTTTTATTTTAGTGTGACACTGTGTGATATTATGAGAATTGTGGGGGTGAACCTCGGCAATAAAATTTCGACGACCTTATGAATAAACACAGATTTATTGTGTTCTTCTCTCTGTTAATACCACTTTAATACCACTTTAATACCACTTTAATACCACTTTAATACCACTTTAATACCACTTTAATACCACTTTAATACCACTTTAATACCACTTTAATACCACTTTAATACCACTTTAATACCACTTTAATACCACTTTAATACCACTTTAATACCACTTTAATACCACTTTAATACCACTTTAATACCACTTTAATACCACTTTAATACCACTTTAATACCACTTTAATACCACTTTAATACCACTTTAATACCACTTTAATACCACTTTAATACCACTTTACAGGCAAATATTAGACATATCCCCCAAGGCCAACAACCACCAGTACATTTTAATACCAATATATTTTTTTCCGATTTTTATTTCTGTAACAGCTTTAGTACAATAGTTACCACAGAACATTGAACCAGAGGCTGAGCTACCCCCACCCCCACCCAACACACACCAAACCCTCCAGTGCAATCTCCAAACTTTTTTATTTAAAAATAAAGCTTGTTCTATTTCCTTGCCACGAAAGAAAAATCAAGCATCTAGAATGACTAATACATCATTTAAAGACAGGCTAAACTGGGTCATTAATTCTAACACCTAGTCAGCAATTATTCTCTAAGGGCGATAACTATGCTATTTTGAAACACAAATTGTGTCCCTTTTTTATATATTTTTTAAACAACCTGGAAGAAATAGCTTGAAAAATTGGACCGGGGAATTCCCTTATTGTTTGCAGCTTGAAGAAAACTTGAGCAGGAAGCTGATTTAATAAGGCCAATTTGGGAGAGAGTGCCACAGGCAACGACAAAAAGGCTGGCTAGAATTTACTCTATCCTTCACACGACCCTCGTCGTTTACTGATGATAAGATGAGGGTGATAGAAGGGGCGGGGGTGACACGCAATATATATATATATATATATATATATATATATATATATATATATATATATATATATATATATATATATATATATATATATATATATATATATATATATATATATATATATATAATATATATATATATATAATATATATATATATATACAAACTCAATTTTTATAGCCCATACCAAAATGTACCATGCTCACATTTTTGTTTGATTTCAGTCTATCTGCCACACCCGTGATGTGTGTAACGGCACACAGCCCGAGCAGAACTCAACGGTTATCCGTACCCAGGATATCGAGACGATTATCCTTCTGGACAACGCAACGCGTCTAGAGCCGGAAGTGACGTCAGAGCAGCCTCCCGAAATGCTGGTCCAGCTTTTACCGCGGGAAATGCAGCTTGGGAATGTGTTGATGTAATGTTTAATTTTGATAATTACAATTGTATTAATTATTCTGATTAACAAACATTTCTTGTTCCATTTACAGAATAACTATCATTGTTTTGATGTTTTTTTACCAAAATTATAAGATAAAAAATTAATTAAGTTGTTTATTAAGTGTTACGGGTCAGTTGTGGGTTAGATTAGAATAGGTTAGAATTGTCTAGAACTAGGGGAGAGTGCATGTGTGAGTGGAGTTCACCTTACTGTGTAGTTACCCTTGTGTGTTTATGTCTTGTAGTCCAAGGTCAAATTGCGGGTATAAAAGGGCGAGTGAACGATTGTGTGGGCAGTCAGCGGGTGAGTAGAGGTTAGGACGAGTGCTGTTCTGGTACGCTTGAATGCATTGAGACGAACAAAAGTAGTGGAAGTTATACACGAAGTGTTGTTGTTGATTTGAAACGAACCCAGAACGTAACATTAAGGAAATTTTAAGTAATAGTAGGCTAGGATTATTGAAGCGTTGACGGGGTGTATTCAATATTATATTCTCGTACAGTTTTCATAAGAACCATTATTAGGGGACGGAGTGGTCGGGTAGGGTACGGATGACTGCTAGCCCGAAAGTCTAGAGTTCAGATCCAGATATGGAAAAGTGGTTCGAATAAGGTTAAAGTCAGTAGACTGTCCCTGAGTCCACCCAGCTCTAATGGGTACCTAACTCACATTAGAGAAAGTAAAAGCCGGCTGGGCATAAAGCTGACAACACTATTCCTTCATATGCGGAGGTCACAGAAACAGGTGAACTCCACTTGCCCCATAGACCGTCAGGTCTGGTAGGGGAACTAAATATGTATGACTCCTCCTTTGTCAGGTTTGGGGGGGGGGGGGGGACTAAATCTGTGACTCCTGTCAGGTCTGGGAGGGGAACTAAATCTGTATGACTCCTGTCAGGTTTGAGAGGGGAACTAAATATGTATGAATCCTCCTTTATCAGGTTTGGGAGGGGAACTAAATATGTATGATTCCTCCTTTATAGATTCACTCCCAGCCAAGACATGGGATTCCCATTCTCTATGATGGTGTACGCCGTGGATGAGCAGGGCTTTCAACACTGCAACTGGTCCTCTGGCCGGGCTATTCTGTCGGCCGAAACGAACACGTCGTTTGAAGTTTCGCAAGAGTTCCTACCCCAGGGAGTTCACTATTTTATAGGTAGGTAGAGTTACGTTAGGAAAGACAAAAGCTGGTGGGCATAGTGCTGACCACACTGTCCCCTTGAATGTCTATGTTATTGAAACAGATTAACTCTACCAGTGTTTCTTCCAGGGCATCTTCCCCCGAAGAAAGTCTTCCCCCCTCCCCCCACGAATAAAATTGAAATTTATATAGAAAATAATGATATATATTCTTTTACCAGTGTCCGCATTCCCCCCCTCCCCCCCCCCCCCCCGGAAAATTTAGAAAAAAGAAGAAACACTGAACTTTATAATTACATCACGAACGGGAAAAAAATAAATGACGTTTACTGTAGTTAAAATTTAAAAACTATAATTTTAGGTTTATTTAAAATGTTTGCCATTTCTATCCAATTCAAACTGTTTTTACTTTTCGACAATTACTTCAAACTGATCCACTTTCGAAGGGGGTGTTTGAATATATTAAAAATATGTTGCAGTGTTATTAAACGTATTTGATCATTGATGGAGCACTAATCCCCACCCTCCCCATGACACTTATACTAGATCCTCCTGTGTAGTGAATGTGGTACCAGAAATAGTAAAATCCGATTCTCTTATGTATCTTCAGCACATTCTGAGTACCCCGCCTTCTCACTCTGCCAATTTGGGTTGAGACTTCGAGTGACGGTCAAGTCTAGCAACTGTGAAGAGACCCATAGCGCCATCTGCAACGGCTGGGGAGTGTGTATCACCTACCCTAACCAGGTTTGTTTAACAGTCTGTGGTCAGTCTGTCTAGATCGAAACGCTCGAGCGAAATTTCGGGCACTTCTAACTGACAGATTTAGTAATGGTATCCAATAGATAAGAAAGTGACCCACGCTTTTCTTTATAGTTATTTAAAGAGTAGTATATTATTATATACGAGCCGACCCGCAGCGTATCATACGCCGCTATTTAGTTGTTTTATTTTCTACTTTTCAGTAATTCATAATTTGTGAATTCGACAGGACCAATGCTGCCACTGAAAATATTTGCTTTAAAACACTAATCCCCCCCCTTTCCCCTAACCCCGACCCTACACCCCCCCCCCCCCCCCCCCCCGTGTGAAAGCAGCCTCCTCTTAGTTATTTCTTAGTTACCTCCTCTAAGTTTAAAATCGAACTAAATTATCTGCCCCTATTAGAAACCCGGCTCTACGGCTCTACGATTTGTAAACATTTAGCTTTGTAAACATTTAGCGTGACAACAGCTCACCAGACAATGTGGGGGTGGGGTGGGGGTGGTAGTGATAGTGATAGAGAGAAAGAGAGGGGACTGCAAGGAGGCGCTTGCAGCTTGTTTTCTAACGGCTCCCAGAAGAGAATTATATATATAGATTTAAAGAAAATCATTTATTTTCTTCTTTTTAGTGCATTATAAAGCTTGTTATTAAAATGTTTTTTATGAATAATTTTCAGTTTTTTTTTCGAAAAGTGTCAATAACTAACCATTTTCTTCCCATTGACTATTTTCAGCCATCTTTTTTCTGCCAGTTTGTGGGAATTATAAGGGCGATAACTGCGATATATTTGATTCGTGTCTGAGCAATCCTTGT